GCGGCTTTTTATTTCTAGACCTCTACTTCAAGTGAAAATTAAACAATTCAATTCATTAGGCTGCTTTTTGGCAGTCTAAATATAGGTTTCACAAACGACTTTTCAGAGAGGTATCTCAGGAGTTCATCGACTGGCAGACCTAGTTAACAGGCCAACCAAACTACAGGGCACTCACAGGTTTCCTTTTTATATCCTGGATTTACTTTTATGTCGCTGGACTACAGGCATACTTAAATCTTACTATAGAATATTTCTGAATTTACATTCTGACTGTTCAACCAGTAGCAGTGATATGGAAACTGATTAGGGTCAATTTCAAACCTCATTCAGGTCTGTAGTATTCTCTTGCTGTAATAAGAATGAAAAGAGCTGGTTGCAACTAAACTAGGTAACAATAATAGTAAATGCACAGGCAGAAAAGGTAAGTCACAGGTGACTCCCTTTCCCCACCCCCTGCCCTTTTTTTGGCAATCTAATTTTTAGAAATGCTGGCATTCTGTACTGCATTCAAGGCCCTTTTCTAGTTAAGGGCAAGAAAACAAACAACTCTTAAAGACTGGCCCAGGGAATTGGCAGAAATATTACAGATACCTTAAGACGTATTTTATAACAGAAGTTAAAGTAATATGGTTCTCATAGGTTGCATTTGGTCATTCAACTGCAAGCCTGAGACCCAGAACACAGAAAAGTACTGTTCAAATACATATAAATACTGAGGCTCAAATTAAATCCACTACCAGCGGTCACATGTTGAGCCCTGGCTCGCCTGATTTCTGCAATGGAACCACAATTCCTAATCCCTGAGCATCTGAAGGCTATATAAAGCTCCTTTAGAGGCACTTGTTTCCCACAACTCTGAGCTGCCAGGAAGTTAAGACAAGGGCATCTAGAGGCCTTAACGCCCAAACTGGAAAGCTTTAGGCTAACACCCTGATTAGAGATTAACTACTCTGAAAACCTGGAGCATATTTTAAATGCTTCCCGACTTTCTCATTTCTCTGTATGCAGACATCACCTCAGTGCTGTATAAATTAGTCATACTGTAAGCTCTATTTTAGATGCTGGATACAGTACGTATATAGAACGGCCCACAGCGGCTGGAGCCATGCATGGACCCATTTGCTGTGAGCAGGGTGGGGAAGTCAAGTGGGTTCAATGAAATCTGATAATCCTCCATCCTCCCTCCCCCATTCATTCCAGATTTTCTGCGAGGTAGGATGAGCAACGAAGTGGGGGTGAGTGGCTCCCAAAACTGCCCAGGGCCGGGCGCGTGCCTGGGCGGCCCCTGCTCCCCACCCATCCCGGGCGGGAGGTCCTCACCTCAAGCTTGTCTGTCAGCTCCTTATGCATCTGCTCGTACTGCCGGCTCATGTCCTGGTTCCTCTCAAGCAGCGCCTTGCCCAGCCGGGCCGCCAACACCAGATCCTTCTCCTTCTGCCGGATCACCGACAGCAGCTCCGGGTCCTGGGAGGGCGGCGGCTGCGGTCCGGCCCCTTCGGCCAGAGACCCAGGCTCGGCCTGAG